TTCCCCAGCTTGTTTGATACTGCATATAAATACATACTTAACACATGTCTATTGATTAAGTTGGGTTAATAATATATGTGAGATAATTTACTTTGGTATCAGGCATGTGGCCTTGATTGGGCAAATAGTGTATGATTAACAAGGTCATGAGAGGACAGTGTGGTACAGTTGTTTGTCTAATCTCTCACCCTAACATGTGCCCCCTCCAAAAAGAACTGGGTGTTTGGGGATTTTTTGGTCTCATGAATAATTATTTTAAATCAGTAATATTTCTGATATTTTTCAGTTATGCTAGTGAAGATTAATGGTGGACTTATGAATACAGAAGCCCAGGTTTAGTTGATATATTTTTTATTTTCGCGGTTAAATGAACTCTTGATTTACACTGATACCCATGCTATTGGTTGGAGGACCTCAGCCAATGAAAACATAAGTCTTCTGTAGTGTTGCTTAATAGTATGTGATGGCATAATTATTCTATTCCCTGTGGTCTCTCTCTACTCTAATTACATGCTTTGGAACCAGTAATTTCAGGGAAATAAGTGTCAATAGGACTTTCCTTCATTTTACTAACTTCAAAGTGCCTATAAACTATACAAATAACCAGAATGCTGTAGTTGATTTTTGAATGAATTTTTATTTTAATTCTTAGATGATCAAATCCGTACCTCTATAATTAATACAGAAAAGCAAAATCTAGGATATAAATTATCCTGCTCACCCCTATTTCACTGCCTTGCTATTTGACTTTTGGCAAGAAATTAATAGAAATTTGGCAGCAAGGTGGCACAATGGATGTAGACATAGAATGCTTGAAGTCAAGAAAACTTATCTTTTTGCAAGAAATTAATAGAAATTTGGCAGGTAGGTGGCACAGTGGATAGAATGCCTGAAGTTGGGAGCACTTATCTTTGTGAATTCAAATCTGGCCTTAGATACTTCCTAGTTGTGTGACCCTGGGCAAGGCACTTAACCCTGGAGAAGGAAATGACAAAACAGTGTCTTGGCCAAGAAAATCCCAAATGGGGTCACAAAGAGTCAAACATGAGACTGAACGACAACAACAAAGAAATTTAAACATTTTGTGATTTAAAATTGCCGTTTCCAAAAACACTACAGTGATACTAAATAACCAGATTGGAATTTGGAGGAAATCATACATACCAGGATGTGTGTTTGTTGTATATTTGACCGATGTCAGGTTATAACTTCTTTTAATAAATATCAGTTGGCTGCTATGTGCACCTTTCTAAATGGAATACTGTAGATCCAAACATTTAAAAAACCACAGTCAGTGCCTTCAAGGAGCTTACCTTTTACTCAGGTACAAAAGAAAAGCTAAGCTTCTAATAACTCAGCAATCCTTTAAGAATCCAAGGGGATCATGGTTACCCGGCCACACTATTATGCTAAAGATGTCAGGCCCAGAAAAAGCTAATCAGGGTATAATTTGTTTCTTTGCTTTATCTGGCTGTTTGTCTGGACTTGTTTCTGACCCTTAATTAAGCTTCACTTACTCTTACCTGGTCATACCTGGTCAAAATAGCCTCAGATTCAAAATTGCAATGCAACTTTAGTGCACATTTGTTAAATGATGGCCTACTGTTTGCAGAGAATGGAGTCATCATGGTGGACATAATTTGGAGTCAGAAAGAGGTTCAAAACTCATATTTACCCCCTTATGTCATCTTAGGCAAATATTTAATTTCTTGGGGCCTCAGTTTTCTAATCTATAAAATGAGTGAGTGAGTTGTACTAGAGAATTTCTGATTTCTGGAGAATTGCAGATACAGTTCTGTGACCTTGTGAACTCTGTGAGGAGTTCCTTGGATAGATAAAATATTCAAATAAGACTGCTGCTGTCCTCATGGAGCTTGTAGTCTAGAGCTATTTAGCTTGGATAACGGGAGAAGTTGGAGGTGGAAAAGGGTTACATGATAGCTATCTTCAAATATTTGAAAAACCCTCTTGAGTCAGAATGATAAGATTTGTTTTGCTTGGTCCCAGAGGACAATGAAGAGAAGTTGCAGATTTTAACTGGAGAGAGAGAGAGAGAGAGAGAGAGAGAGAGAAGAGAGAGGAGAGAGAGAGAGAAGAGAGAGAGAGAGAGAGAGAGAGAGAGAGCGCCAGCTGTTGGAGTTGTATAAAAGTGGAATGGCTGGCCTTTAGACCAGTAGGTTTCCCCTTACCAGAAGTCTTCAAGTGGAAATTGGATATTCACTTCTCAGGGAGATCATAGAGGGTATACTCTTCAGATATCAGTGGGTTGGGTAAGGGAGCCTCTGACGTCACATCCAACTCTTGAGATTTGGCATTTTTTTAGTGCCTGGCACATAAGTGCATAATAAGTGCTCTGTTTTTGTTTTTTTTTTCTGTATGTCTACCTGGAATATTTGACTTATGCCTTGCCTTTATTTTCATCTGTCCCAGTGATCTAGTGCTTCAGTTTTGTTACCCTTGGTGTTGAACTCTCCTTTGCATGGACCTAACATTGATAGACCCTCTTCTTCTCTATCTTGACAGGCCGCTGTCAGTTTTTAAGCTATCTAGTAAGGCTGCTTCTGCCATCTGTTAGCCCCCTGACTAAAAGCCCTGCCTTGTTTGGCCCTGTTTGTATGTATGTAGCCTAGAGCCCTGTTTGGTGTCAGAGTACTATTTCTGATTCAACAGCATTGGGTTCTTTTGATTGTTTGATTGTGATCAGATGATGCACTTGGACATTTCATTTCTATAGGGATTTTTAATCTGTAAAAGGACCTTCCAAGTAGATTAAATGGGATCTGGGGAAGGGGGCAGAACCCTTTTATTCCAGGTAGGTACATGTATAGATTATGCTCTTTTACCTTACTCCTATGTTCAGAAATGCCCCAAAGATTTCAGATTTAACTTTGTCTCTAGATAATGTTCAGTGTCATGATAGATTAGAAGAAGCCACTGGGGAAAAAAAGAGGCTGGTATCCAGGCTGCTATCTGATTTGGCTGTGAGGACGCAGAATGTGTTGTCTATACTGAAAGTCACCAAGCAAGTCTATGTATTTTACTTGCTCAAGTGAACATTTTACCTTCTTTTCACTAGGAGCTTTTCTGATGATAATACAAAAAGGTTTGTCAATGGGGTGTGTCACTAACCTAGCCATTTTGTAGTTCAACTTTATAAAAATTGTATGTCACATTTGTGTTCATTAAGTCCTATTGGCCTTGTATTCAAATGTACAGTCTCTCTTCAGAGCCTCGTGAACACTGTGGAGTTGTAGTTCCTGGTCATGTCAGTCTATCAGCAGAGCCCTAATCTCCATAATCCAGAGTCTTGGCAGAGGCTGGTACTCTTAGCCTTGGGCAAACATTGTATTTTCTGCAAAGACTTGAGCATTAACCTTTATCGAGTTTCAAATTTGTTCCAACCCTTCATGTTGCGCTTAAGACTGGCCACAGTCACCCGGGAAGCTTTCCACATTTACCCATGCAGAGCTGAACTTTCTGTTACTGCTTCTGTGCTGTTTAAGATGAGGCATATGTTTGCTAAATCCAGAGGAGAGAAAGCGGCGTTGGTGAAGGGCTCTTTCTGAAAGAGAGCCAATCCTTTCCTGAGAAACTCAGTTTCTCAACATTTTATTTGGTGCTCTGAGGTCTCCTGACAGAAGCTGTGGATTTATAGGGTAGGACTTTATTCTTTGTGTGTGATTGGTGTCTGGATCCTACCTGCTTCTCTGCTAATCTGTTTGATTAATTCCTCATCTGTTCCATGTCCTACAACAAGCACTAAAAGCTCTTTTAATTGATTTGAGCACCTAGCTTTGGGCACTGCATGGCTCCTCACTTCTCAAGAGTCAGCTTCCTATACCTGCACAGAATGGCTGCTGGTTTATCTAAAGCAGCTTAGCTTTTAAGTATGGTTGGACACTTAAAACATTAGATTTATTTAAAGCATGAGCCTTCCTTCACTCTGATAATATTTTCCTTTTGTTCTTTTTTTTGGGGGGGTGAGTAAAATACAGACTTTGACTTCCTCATACCATTTGGTACTAGAGCTAAAACCAGCATAAAACTCCTAATATTTTTGTGTTTGATTTTTGGAATATTATAATTGCATTAAACAAATTTATTGAGCAATTAGCATTCCAAGTCATTGATTTGGGCATTTTAGGAAATAAAAATAAATTTAAAAAAGAGATAAGACTTTTTCCTTGATGAACTTACAGTATAGTAGGGGAGATAATATATGTACATGAATAGATATTATATAAAGCAAAATGAGATGTGTTGGAAGGATAAGCCAGCAAAGTGTTGTAAGAAAATAAATAGGAGAATAGTGCTCCCATTTGGAGGGATCAGGGATTAGTTTGTAGAGGATTTGTACAGTTTTATAGGATTGAGAGTTTTGACAGACGAGAGGGACACTTGTGTGCATGTGGTAGGCAAAACAGAGGGATCATTATAAACAAAGGCACAAAGATAGGCCAGTGTAGCCATGTTTGCATAATGGTGACTAGCCTGGGCTACCTTGTTTGAAAAGGGCTAATGGAAAGTAAGCAGAGGTAGACATAAAAAAATAGGCTAAGCCATATCACCAAAGACCTTGAGTGGTGGCCTAAGGCAGGTCTTCTTGATTGTAAATTCAGCACTTTACCTATCTACTAGCTGTTCTCTGAAGTTAGGTATCCTTGGTGATTTTATTGGTCATCCAGCTTGTTAAAGCTACAGCCGTGAGTTCACTGTGGAAAAGAATATCTGATCAAATTTGTCAAATTGATGATTTCTTCTGTATAGAATTTTACATCTAGCAGAAACTTTAGAGACCTTCTAATCGAGAGCCTTCCCATTGTAGTGGAGAAAACTGACACCCAAAAAAGTGACACAGATTCATACAGTTTTGCCTCTGAACAAAGATGATATCTCATTTTCTTTATTTTCATATGGGAGAACAGCTACTGTAAACCTTGAAGAATAAGTATTACAATGTAGTTGGATTGACTGTATTATTTTTCTTTTTCATTTCACAGTCTAACAACTCTGATGTATCTGGTCACGTAACCAGGACAGTAAGTAGATTTTCTTCCTTGACTAATGTGGATTTTATTACATTGTATTTTGGGCTTGTGTTTGGTGAATTTTTTTCTGAATTTTTTTTTTTTTTAGCATTTCAGCACTACTAGATATAGGACATAGAGAAAAAGAGAAACATTTAGCATTTTCAGGTGTTTGCTAGGATCTTTAGTATCAGCTCAGATACTTTCAGTTTTCTTTCTATCTAAAAGCTGTAATTTCAAATGAACTTTTGGAATTTCAAGTTCAAATTTTTTTTACATTTGAATAAATATCCCTTGGCTTTTTTTTTTTAAGAGAAAGTGTTAATTCTCATCCTTCTTTAAGTTGAATAATTCTTTTGGGCCCCTGGTTCAACCAAACTCCGACCCAGCCTGAATTTGGGTATTTTGAGTTTTATTCATGTGTGACCCTGGGCAAGTCACTTAAGCTCTGTCTGACCTTGACTCCCTTATCTATAAAATGGACATAATAATAGTGTCTATCTCCCAGGGATGTTGTGAGGATAAAATGAGTTAATATTTGTAAAGGATTTTATAAACAACAAAGTGCTATATTAAGGCTATTATTTTCATTATTATTATTTTTTGACTGTTCTACATTTGATTTTTCAGGGACTGGCATTTTAGTATGAGTGCTTTGGTTTTCCTGCTACCATTTAAATATATTTAGGTATTAATTAGTAGCATTCCAAAGAGTGAGAAGGAATATTCAACAAAAGATATATTAGTTCATTTTACTTTTTGGATGTGTGGGGCAATTGACCTTATTGTTACCATGATGTAGTGAAGAACATCCTGGATGTGGAGTCCACAGAATCCTGATTCCTGGCTTGGAATCCTGGCTCTATCCCTCATTAGTTCTTTGAACAAAGGCAAAAGTTACTTCAGCTTTCTGCACACTCACTTTTTCATCCACAGAGCTAGAGTTGTAGTTCTTATGCTTCTTATCTCTTAGCTTTTTCTATCTGTGTATCTATGTATCTATGTATCTATCTATCCATCTATCTATCTGTCTGTCTGTCTGTCTGTCTGTCTGTCTGTCTGTCTGTCTGTCTATCTATCTATCTATCTATCTATCTATCTATCTATCTATCTATCTATCTATCTATCTATCTATCTAAAGATACACATTTTCTCTCTTCCCCCTCTCTTCCCTCCACCTTGTGGAGGAAACAAGGAAAAAAAAACAAAACCATTATTACAGACACATATAGTCAAAACAAATTCCCTCATTGGTCAAAGAAATTACCTCAGTTTGTTTGTTTATTCATTTATTCATTCATTTATTCATTTACTTATTCACTCATTTATTTATTTATTCATTTTTGTTTGTTATGAAGGAGGGCACTTTGTTAATTATAAAGCCTTATGTAAATGTAAGTTGTAAGCAAATGTTTTCGGGGAAACATTTTTGTCATTTAATATGTAACTCTGCCGTGCCAATTTGGAAGCCATTGCATGAAGTACAAATAACTTGTATAGGATGTAACACGTATTGCCATATTATAATTCACGGATAATCTTCTGCCTAGATCAACCTTAGGTATGATACCTATTTGTGTATGTTGTTACTTATTTTAGTAACCATTGGATAACAATCACTTCTTCTCTTCTTCTTCATTTCTATGATATACTACTCTTCCTCCTAGCTAGCATTTATATGGTTTTTTTAAGGTTTTCAGAGTGTTTTACAAATATTGTCTCATTTGATCCTCACTACAACTCTGTAAGTGCTGTTATTTTCCTGATTTCAGAGATGAGAAAACCTAGCTTGAGGAAGGTTAAGTAACTTGCCCAATGCCACACATCTAGTAAATGTCTGAGGTGGGATTTGAACTCAGGTCTTCCTTATTCTGACTCCTGGATTCTTATCTACTGTACAACTTTGCTGTCATGAAAGCAATCCATTAAATCCATTAAAGCAAAAATGGTTAAAGTTGTTTTTGTTAACAAAACTACATATCTAATTTTGATATCTTTTCAGCCTATTAATAAAAATGATGTTTATATAGGTCCTGAAGATTAGCAAAATCTTTATGAATATCTCATTTCGTCAGCACTAATTTATTGTCACATTTGATTGCATGCAGCTTGATTAAAACATGCATAACATATCTATACATAACACACAAACTCAAAGCACTTATGTTCTGTCTTAAGTATACCAGAAGAGTTTAAAGAACAAGTGGGGAGTACCAGCAGAATGTGGCTTCCACTGGGGGTACTTCAATCTTACAATCAGGGATTAGGTGCTGGGGACTCTTGCTAGGAGAATCTCAAGCCCAGCTATTTTAAAAATGCTTCATTTATTTAATTTTAGTCTTCATTTTCTCAGAAATCTCTTTCATGACTCTGGTTGCCTGAGAAATTTTAGACACACAGCTAAGTCAGTAAGCATTTGTTAGGTATTACTATGTGCCTGGCACTGTATTAAGAGCTGGCAATACAGAGAAAAGCCAAAAAACGTGGTTCCTGGCCTCAAGTAGCTCACATTCTAATGGGCAGACAAAATGCAAACAATAATGTACATAAAATATATGTATTGTGTATTGGAAGGTAATCTCAGAGAGAAGGCACTAGCAATGGTAAGTAATGGAAAAGACTGAGTCGTAAATGCTTGATGAATGAATGAGTGATATAGCATTGCCAACGGGGCTTTGCTATGATTTAGTTTATTGTTCAGTTATTTACATAATGATTACTGTCAGTTTTAGCTTGAAATGGAAATTAATTTATTCCTTTTATATTTATTCTTCCTTTTTCATTTTTATTTAAATTAATTGTCTTGGCTAATTTCTTTGTGTATGTAGGCACCTCAGTTCTATCCACATATACTTAATTCTAGAGATTACCCTGGTGGGGGAGTGGGTTTTTGGTGCAACCTTATGACTTTTTGGGAACTGGGGAGAGCAGCTGTTGTGTTCAGCAGGAAGCCACAGGCTTCCTGTCTTGGCAAGAGTGTCACCTCTCTGTAAAACCTTTCCACAGTGTGGCATTGTCTGCTCATGAGAGAGATATGCAGGGTAGGGATGAGAGAGAACACATGATAGAGAACAAGCGAAAATGAAAAGTTCCAGGATTGTGTTTGGCAGTGAGTATAAAGGTATTTTCACTTTTATGTGACTGGTAGGACAGGGATAGCGCTCATCTAGCTGCCAGGTTATTCTGCTTTTCTTTTCTCCTCATCTATAAAGTGAAGGAGTTGGATTTAGAAACTGTTAAAGGTCATTTCTACCTCTGATGCTCTGTGATTCTAGAGAAAAACATTGCTTGTCACTTCATGGCTCCATCAGTCCCTCACTTATTGACTAGCATGATTACTTATTGGATGGTATGTTAGAGTGGAAGGGATCTAAGGGATCAGCCCTGAATACCTTCATTTTTCACATGGGAAAAACTATGATCCCAGAAGTCAATTGACTTGCCCCCAAAAGACCTTTACGCAACTATACCATACTGTTTTTTAATGTGATTATTCATTGTTCCTTATTGAACCCATATGGACTTTTAGAAATCATTGCTGCCTTTTTAAAAAATGCTCAGAAACTATACATTTATTAATCCATTTTAGAATTTGCCCTTGGAATAATCTATGTCAAGCTTTCTAGTTTATAATTTGAAAGATTAACTTTTTCTTTCATTATGGAAATGGGCACAGTTGCTCCTCTGCAGTCTCACAACTCCTCTCCCAATTTCTGTGATTGAAATTTACCAGTTAGTGAATGTTTTCTTAATTAAATTCAAAAGACATATTCAGAAATCTCCCCAGAACACTGGGATGTAATTTGGAAGGGACCGGTGGCTTGATTTCATTTAGGGTATTGATTTTTCCTTTTGCCATCTCCTTACTTCTCTTGGATTTCAGTCCCTTCTCATCACTTTTTGTATATTCTTCCCCTTCTGCAGATCATTATCTTTTTTTTTTTTTGAGAGAAGTAAAATGCAAGTTGACTGGCTCCTTTTTTCTGATGACGAGTCCCATCTATCCATTGGCTTCAATGATCTTAAGTCTTCCTTCTTTCAATTCTTCCCCACAATATTGATTTTTTTAAAAGGTCTTTTTTTACTGTCATCTTTAACATTTTTGACAACTTCAGCTCATTTAAGACTTTAGCTTTCTGTTCTGTATTCTTATCCATGTATGTCACTTTTTAATTTGTTCTCCGTTATTGTAAGGGAGGAGAAGGGGATGGGACCATTTTGTTTTCAGGCATTGAGCCTCTTCAATTTTTCATCATTTTGGGTAGTGGTTTTTACCAATGTGTCTTTCAACTTCCATACAAAGCATCAGATGGCTTTCAAAGATTGCTATCCCCCCCCCCCCCAATTTATCACACAGCAACAACCTCATCATTAGTTTCTTTTGACTTAGCCAAAGGTGTGCTTTGGATGACTGAACACCAGTCCACACTGGGCCTTCATACTCAAAGACACTGTAGCTTGGTGTAGGCCCTTTCAAATTTTGTACTTGTCTGTTAGAGCCTCGAGAACCTAGGAGTCACTTCTGGGCAACAATGAAGCAACAGAGTAGGCCTTTTGGGGGGCCACTGAATCAATTTTTGGGTAGAAAAGAATAAATTCTGGACCACCTAAGTAAATAACCCCCAGGATCTCATAAAGTAACATCACCATCTTGTGGCCATTTAGCATATTTTTGCTGTTAATTGTTAAAAACACTCTCCACCTTTGCTTTTTTTTTTTTCATTACAACTTTAGGCAGAAAAGGCAAAGTCCCTGTCTAGATTTTATGCTACAAGTCCATGGAAAAAAAAAACTCTTGGATCAACACCAATTTTTAGATTTCTGATACTTATTTTGTAACATAATGAGAAAGTTTTGGTTGGAATCCTTCTGGTCTTTTTTTAAAAAATTATTTTATCCCATTTTTTTCCACTTCAGAGGATATCTAAGAACCAAAAAGGTTGTCTAAGAAGTTGTTAGAGAACAAATTTATCCAAACAGCTTGCAGAAAATCTTGTTATCTAGATCAAGGT